AGTAGAAGTTTGCAAGCTTTATTGACACATATCTGGTTGGTTACAGGTGGAGAGAGACATGTCCAATGTCAGCCTTGGCCCGACCCCAATTCCAGAGCTCACACACATCATGGTGGGATTGGAGAGCTGTTCCTTCCTGGTAAGTGCAGGTATAGGTCAAGTGTACCAATGGGGCCAAGTTACTGTGGCTGGCTGGCATTGACTCTGTATTCCATAGGAGGAAGACTTCATCCCCTTTGCTGTGCTGAATATGATGATGGGAGGAGGGGGCTCTTTTTCAGCTGGAGGGCCTGGCAAAGGCATGTTCTCCAGGCTCTATCTCAATGTGCTTAACCGGTGGGTACTACTGTCTTACTGTTGCTGTTCTTACGCTGCTGAGTGCACAGACTGTACTGACACCTTCCAGCTATCCTGTAGCCTTCACCAGAAACTGTATGTCCCCTCACAGGCACCACTGGATGTACAATGCAACCTCCTACCACCACAGCTATGAAGACACAGGCCTCCTGTGTATTCACGCCAGCGCAGACCCAAGACAAGTGAGGGCAGCGCTTGTGTCTCAGCCCTCCCCTCTCACTCCAGTGTACACTCCACACACAGTACCAGAGTTTTGGGTGTTGTGGCTTGGGTATGCTTAAGGAGTCAGCAAGCAGGACTTCAGCTCACACTCTCATTTCATGTTCTTTTGTAGGTTCGAGAAATGGTAGAAATCATCACAAAGGAGTTTATCTTGATGGGCAGAACGGTGGATTTGGTAAGGTCTGGAGAGCACCCCTTGCACTCTAATCCAACTAAGTCACACACATAGCTGAAGGAGCCACAGGCTGATTTGCTGTACTGTGGAGCCTTGCCAGTACTACCCCAAGGACAGTGTTGCTCTCAGTGCTTCCTATGGAATGGCCATGAGCTAAAGCAGCATTATACAAAATGAACAGTAATACGGGGTCTTTTCTAAGCCTTTCTTGGCTCCATTTTATGTTGGCACCCAAGTTTTTGTTGACTTTGGTTTTTGTTTTTTGTTTGATTGTTTGAGACAGGGTTTTTTGTTTTGTTTTAAAGATGTGCACCACCACTGCCTGGCTAGCTTTTGGAAGTTTTGTTATTTCCTGGGCCAGAGCTCATAAAAGCAAGGTGATTTAGTGGAGCATGCATTTTTGCCTTTCCTTTTTTCTGCCAGTTTTCGTCAGTGATTGTATACCACAAGGAGAAATGGGAGCATTATTGAAAAAATTAAAATGTGCTTAAAAATGAATACCACTGCAGGGAAAGGTAATGTATATGCATGCCTGTGATCTCAGTTCTCAGGAAGTAGAGGCAGGAAGTCATGAGTTCAAGGCCAACCTAAGCTAATGTATAATCAGCCTTTCCAAAACAAACCAAGGTCTGGGGTTATGGCTCAGTGGTAGTAAGCTTGTTGGTATGCTCAAGACCCTGGGTTCCACCCCAGCATAGCCAAAATTAATGCTCTGTGTTTACACTAGTACCTTGATAAAGTACTTTCCACTAAAGTCAAGTGTATTTGAGCTAAATATACAGTATTAAGTGTTTGCCTGAAATTATACAAGTGTCAACTTAACACAAACTCTCATAAGATAGCCACCTGGCCTCAAAATTGCAGTCCTCCTATCCCTTACCTCCTAAATGCTGGCCTTACAGGCAAGTGCTTAAACATCCAGCTTGATCTGTCCCTTTGTGGTCCTGATTCTTTGGTGCCACCTTTGAAGTTCATACCTGGCCAGAGGCTCTGCTCTTATGCTGCCTCCTCAGTCGCTCCAGGGGCTAGTGGCCTGGATCCTGTGCTTAAGTTAGGACTCTGAGCAGCTGGAATCTTTGCTTCATCAGTGTCCTCTGGTTTCTTGTGCAACCAGGTGTGGCTTCCTGATGTGTGTGCTCTGCTGCCATTCAAACAGGGAGCAGAGGTTGGACACGTGTCTGTCTTGGCCTTTCTAGTGCAGTTCCTCCCTTGCTCAGGGGGTATGCTGGGCTGGAAAAGCAGACTGGCACAGCTCCTTCACTCTGTTCATCTTTGGGCACATGGAGGCCTTTTAACTGGGACAGATTTGGGTCAGCCTATCTGTGCTGGCTTGAGCCAGCTGTGATTGGTGTGCTTGGCCCTCAGGTGGAGCTAGAGCGGGCCAAGACACAGCTGATGTCCATGCTCATGATGAACCTGGAATCCAGGCCTGTGATCTTCGAGGATGTGGGGAGGCAGGTGTTGGCTACACATTCAAGAAAGCTGCCCCACGAGCTATGCACACTCATTCGTGAGTATATGCAAAAGCCTGGGTTGGGCTCATTTGAGACTGTTCTCAAGCAGATAGACAGATGGTCCCCTGTTGTCTGCCCCACAAGCCCATCTTTTCCAAGTAGTCCTTTCCCAGTTCTGTCCTATACCAACTAGACTCCTCAGCCTAGGATGGTGCTAATGGTGCAACAGTCTGGACTGGAATAAAGTAGCTCATGGGAGGCTCACCCTGTGACTTAGGGAGTGCCTAATGGCTTGTGTTTAATCTTTTGAAATTGGGTGTGAAGCTTAGAACATTACTGTAGATTGGGGCAGCTTGCGTACTGTCACCTGTCTTCTGAAGACGATTCAATCTGCCTGCTGGTCTTGGACAGTTGCTTATCCTGCCATAGAAAATGAGCTGACCTTGTGGTTGTAGAGGATGGATTTCTGGGATCCCTTCTAAAGGCCAAGCTGTGGGTGCGAGGCTGCCATTGAAGGACATGCAGCACTGGGAGAAGTAGTCTGGATTTTTTTCCTAAAGACTAAAAAAATAACTTGGGCTATGACAGTCCACTCTGTCTGAACATTAGATGGAGTGGCTATGCCCTCCAGTGTTGCATTGTTTTTAAGTCTCACAGACTGAATCACACCTCAGACTGGCCTCAAACTCTACATCTTCCTGCTCAGCTCTCTGTGCATTACCCTGCCTAGCTGCTCTCATGTGTTTGAAAAATTTTTTGTTTGTTTTGTCTTTTTTTTTCTGCTGCTGCTGCTGCTGCTGCTACTGCTTAAGGGATTTGAGACAGGGTCTGCTGTTGCCCAGGCTGTGGTTGATCCTCCTGCCTCTACTTCCCAAGTGCTAGGATTACAGGCACATACCACTATATTCATTTTGAAAGTAATTTTAAGCCACTGTAGTTCCCCACCTAATGGAAATTTACTCTGTCCTTTGCTCTGACCCACCCTTGGTCAGTCCTGCTGCAGCTGGGCCTGAGTTCCTTAGCAGCCCCCACCCACAGTGATAAATCAGGGCTCCTCAACCCTGAGGAGTGCACTTTGAGATGGAGATGGAAACTCTGCTCTCCCCCTCACCTCACTGCCTCTTACTTTCTGATATAGGCAATGTGAAGCCAGAAGATATCAAGAGGGTTGCTTCCAAGATGCTCCGTGGGAAGCCTGCTGTGGCCGCCCTGGGTGATTTGACTGACCTACCCAGCTATGAACACATCCAGGCAGCGCTGTCCAGCAGAGATGGGCGCCTGCCCAGAACATACCGGCTCTTCCGGTAGAGTCCCTCTGGACCCACAGGGCAGGCTGCAGAGTGCCTCTGTGCATGTTATTGTTGGTGTGAACACTCTGTATAAAGATGGCTAGCTTTGTAAACAGTGCCAACAGTGAAACTCTGAAAACTTGAATGAAAGTTACTATTGCCACTGCACCTGTGTGTTTCTCAAACACAAGTGGCTTGTCCTTCATCCAACAGTGTTTGCTACAGCAGGTACTGTCTGGCCCCTAGAGATTCTGGTGCAAAGAAGGATAGGGAGTAAGGCATGGGCTCGAGGTCAGAAGATTAGAAGTTTCAGGGCTCCAGGAAGGCAAAGCATTGCAAATTAAAGCACACAGGACCTCCCCAGCTTTAGAACTATAGGTATGCACCATCATACTCATACTATAGCCCTGACTGGCTTAGAAATCATTATGTAGACAACAAATTGGTTTGAAACCCACAGACACCTTCCTGCCTCTGCCTCCCAAATGCTAGGATTATAGGCATGTGCCACCACACTTAGGCTACTCATTTTTAAAGCTTTGTGTTTTGGTTTTTTGTTTTGTTTTGTGAGACAGCATCTTAGCCCAGGCTAGCCGGTAACTCAATATATAGATGAGGCTGGTCTTACGGTGATTTGCCTTGGCCTCAATTACTGGGTTTCCAAATATTAGTCACCATGCTAGTTGTATTTCAGTTTCTACAAAGCCCAGTTTCTAGTTTCCCACTTCATTTGCAGTAGTTGTTTAAATGTTTTAACTTTGCAACTGAAATACCCTGTTTATATGTAAAGGCTATGTAAATATAAATAGTCATCACTGTATTTTGCCCCATCCCCAAGACTTGACATTCTTAATCTCAGGCCGAATTGAGATGTTCCAGAATTACCTCAGTCTTTTCTAAGGTGCCAGAGAAGGTCCGCAAAGAAATACCCAACTGCTGGGCACTGGTGGTGAACACCTGTAATCCCAGCACTCAGATGCAGAGGCAGGCAGATCTCTGAATTTGAGGCCAGCCTGGTCTACAGAGCAAGTTCCAAGACAGCCAAGGCTACAGAGAAACCCTGTCTCGAAATAAAAAAGAAGAAAAAGAAATGCCAGGATCACGAAGATAGCCTGTCTGGGTAAAAACACACTTCATTGCCACAAATCTTCCCAATGGGAAGTTGCAATTCACTGATTTGACATTCTGGCACTTGCCCCATACATTTGAGTGGTTTATTGAAGTAGGCAGGCTTGGCTTGGCTGACATCTACATTCTAGGACCCTGGCAAGTTTCATCTCATTTGCTGGCTTATTTTACCATGGTTCACTGGAGTCCCAAGTAGGTACTTCTTTTTTCTGCTGTTGCCACTTCAGGCTGTGAGCAGGGATAATACCTAACAGAAGGGATTGATAGTAGGTGGCAGCTTTGACTTCTATTGCCATTTAAAACCTGGGGTGACTTGAGGTACCGGAATGCATGCAGACTGTTTCTTCCAAGGTTCAGTCTTTGGCCAGAAAGAGATTAAGACTGAAATATGAATTTATTTAAAAATATAAATATGGAAAAATAAATAATTTAGAAGACTAGAGTGGATGCCCATAGGTGTCTGTACATTCAAGGCTATGTCTCTGAGGGGATGGGGTAAGATGAACAATGATGAGTTCTAAGCTTTAAGGAGTGAAGCCCAACAAGGTGCTGCCTGATGACACCATTTCTAATGCCATTCTGGGGCTAGTAGCATAAAAGCAAGTGGTCTGAAGCTCCTAAGAACCATGAGTTTTCTATAGCTGGTGTTGGGTTAGCCTGTGGAGAGGAAGGATCCCTACTCAATTGGAGGTCAGGAGCCTGGGACCATGATGTAGAACCTCAAAGCCTACCAAAATGTCTGCAGGGCACATCCTAGCTTTGGCCTCTGAATTCTAGGTCTTGGCAGGTTCAACTACCAGAGGTTGTCTGATCCCTCCCTGGAGGAGGAAAGGGCCTGTTAGGAGGATACAGACCTAGAACCTGGGTTCTGGCATGAGAACAGGAATAAAAGGGGTTGAAGAGACTGCTCCTGCAGGGTGTGGGACTGCTCAGGGCAAGCCTGACTCAGTCTGTAGCTTCTCCGTGAGGCTGCTGCTTGGTGTCCACCTGCCCCCCTCAGAACAAATCCTGCCATGTGCCTGTGGGAACATGACAGGAATAATTGAGGCTTGTGCTGGCCACAGCCACTGCTGTCCTGAGGGATGGGGTCTGTGTTAAGAACAGGAGAGCCCCTAGCCATTAGGACCCCAACATGACGAGGTACCAAAGAATAAGCACATCTCTTTTTCCAGTGACCTTGGTCCTCAAGCTGCAGTGGCCAGTCCTTGTATGGTAACTTCATGACACAGTGCAGACAGCACTGGAGCTCTGATTCCTTAGTGCTTGTTTCTGAAGTTCTTTTGAGATTCGTCTTTTAATTCCCGTCAAGTACAGTTCTCGGTCAAATTTGCCAGCAGCTAGTGGGATGCTGTGGAGAAAGACCTTTTATAAGAGCTGGCCTCAACATCACTGAGCAGCACACCTGCTGAGCCCTGCAGAAAATGGGCCACTCTCCAGGGATTAAGGTTCATCCCATCTCGGCTACCCTAGCCCCAATTACAACCCTGGGTATAGAAATGCCAAGAAAGGCGAGGCTAATGCCTCCTTGGACCTACTACTCCAGAAGGAGCTTGCTCAACTCTAAGGAACTTGAGGTCTCAGAACAAGCTGCTGCTTCATGCAACCCTGAAGCTTAGCAACTTGGGGTCTACAGAGATACCCTGAGGACGGCTAGGACCCTAGGCCTAGATGGAAGCAACTTCACAGTAGCCTAGGAGCTGTTGGCACTGTGCCTGTCTGGTGTGTTACAGTGTGAAACGACATACTCCTCCACACCTAAGCCTGTTGCCCCTTCCACAAAAGTCACTCCATTCAAGAACTGGCAAGAGCTCCTAAAGCGTCAGCCGGCTTTGAGGGTAAGCTGGGACTTACTTGTCTCGCCCTGGCCTCACTTTCACCCTGAACAGGCCATACACAGGACGGTGGTCTGAAGTCTTGATCCCAGGGCAAGAGGAATACTTCATGGGACAGATGTCACCCTTGTGGCGGCTTTTGTATAAAACTCGGTCCTTCAGAAGAGATGGTGAAGCAGGAGCAGAGACTGTGCCATTCTGTTGCAGGTATCCCCACGGCAAGGTGTACCTGCAGCCCTGGCCTAGCTTTGTTTCCCTTAGGAAGCCCTCCCCAAATAAATCTTGACCTCCTATTGTTAGGCATCTAAAGACCAAATAGGTGGCATCTGTTCCTTTCTAGCCCTCAGAGAGCAGCAGGGAGCTGCCTTACTCTCATGGATGTCCCAGGGTCTCACCAGGTGCCACTTGTGTACCAGAAAGAGCTAACATCTGGTGGAAAAGCCAGACAAGAGTGCAGGTGTCTCCCACTTGTCTTCTGCCAGGCAGATGGACTCAGGTGTGAGTCCAACTATGGCCTACTCTTTAGGGATGGCCCACTTAGCCCTGTAATACAGAGATACTATCCTCTACCCCCAGTAGGCTGTGGGCATGCTCGAGCCTGGAGATGAATTCAAGGCTAGCTAACCTGGCTGGCTGCTGTGTGCTCTGTGCCAGGCCCACATAGACACGAGCTGCGGTTGGCAGGAGTCCTGAGGCCAGACTGAGGTTACATACCGTGTAGGAAGGTGTCCTTTGCTTGGAGGTGCTATCATAGGTGTCCTTCCCAATGTCGAATTTGTAGGATGGGAGAAAGTGGATTTCTGCCTCCTCGAAGCCCCTGAAGATGGACCCTGCAACAGAGGAGAGTTCAGGGAGGGCCAGCCACGCCTAAGGTGCTACTCCCCAGGCCACTCACCTTTCTTCATCTCCCGGGTGAGCTGGTCATGCTGCAGGAGTGCTAGCACATCCACCTCTGGGTCCTGCTTCAGGAAGGCCTCCACAGCCACTCGTCCACCACTCAGGCGGAAGTTGAAGTCCCCAAACCAGAATACCTCATCAAACCGGGTAGTGACATCCCCTGGGCACATATGGGAGAATATATTGGTGCTGGCCTCCCCTCATCTGCTACAATCTGCTGATAGATGGATGGGCTCTAGGCCAAGTGGCAGGCCTTCCTTTGTCTCGGTCCCCTTTCCCACAAAAACACAGTTGGGTAGCAGCTCCCCAGGAAGGCTGGTGATGGGAGCAGCCAAGGCCAACAGCTGCAGAGGATTGGGAAGCCATCTATGCAGTCCAGTTCAAAGGACTACCTTGATGTACATAGCAGGCTAGCCATCCTATCAGCTTCTCCCAGCTCAGTCAGGGCCAGGAAGTAGACAAACAATGACAGCCCTGGGCAAACCACTAGGTCTTATGGGCTCCCATCTGCCCATCTGCAAACCTGGTGGCTATCTTAGTAATGAGGACCTCCCAATTCTCAGAAGTCCTCCAGTAGTTTCTACAGGGGGGACAGAAACAAGGGACAGAAACAGCCATGTGCTGGAGTGTCACCTGCACTAGAGCGGTAGGGGTTTGTGTCTGGCACATTCCGGGGCAGAGCTAGGGCTTGGATGGTTTTGCTGTAGTCCAGAAGCCGCTCGGCTACCTTCCCATCTCCAGCTATGAGACAAAACAAAACAAAACAAAACTCATGAGTAGACAACTGAGCTTCAGTGAAGAGCCTGCCCCAAATACTGCCTCACACCCTGACTGACCAGCTCCTACCCAATTGTCTGTTCTGCCTCAGAAGACTGTGACTGAAAGCAGTGAATGTTCTGAGTATCATGCTCTATCAAGGCAGAACCCACTAGTACTAGCCCAGAGTAACTGGCACCCCACCTGAACAGAGGCCTGTGAGGGAAGAAAACTGCTCACAAGCCTGTGTCAGGAATATAGGACTGACTTGGAAACACTTACAGGTGAAGTGAGATGTGATAAAGAGGAAGGAGGTGCCGAAAAAGGTGAAGCTGATGCCCAGGGCTCCCTTGGTCTTGATCTGAGACACGATGCGTGTAGTTACTGTGGCATACTCGACCTCTGCAGGGCAAGGAACGGGGGTTTAGGGTCTGCAGGGACACAGCTGCACTAGGTGTGCTTGTGTGTATTCTCAGACATGGAAACCTCAAAGGCTGGATCCCAGGCATGAAGTGCACAATTGCCTGAGGTTGCAGGTTTCTGGGAGGGGACCCATATATGGACAGGGCCCACATGTTATTTGAGCCTGTATATGGAGATACCTAGAGCCCTGGTAAGGGCCAGCAAGATGCCAAGCCTGAAGACCTGAATGGATCCCCAGAACACACAAGGTGGAAGGAGAACTGACTTGCAGGCTGTCCTCTGACCTCCACATAGTGCTCTGTGGTACATGTAGAGAGGGAGGGAGGTGGGAAGGAGGGAGGAAGAAGGGAGAAAAGCCTAATGGTGGCACCTACCTGAGCAGAACCAGATCAGGTCCCTACGGATAAACAGGGACATGTACAGGACCCCATGTGCTGCTGATGACAGCAGCACATACTGAGGCCCCAGTGTCTCCTGCAGGCGTGTTTCCCACTCCCGCCTGTGGGGAAGAGACAGGTTAGATGAGGGATGGGGCCTTTTAGCTCCACCCTACCCCATCTGCTGCCCAGAAAGCCCCTGATGTGTTCCTAGAGGACCCCACAACTAGGCCTCATTTAGTACTGAGAACAGCGACCAGGCTAGTGGCATCTTAATGTACTGTGAGACCCTTCAGGTTGGCTTCAGGCTCAAGACCTCAATCTGATGGCATGTGCAGATATCCAATCCCATCTAAGACCCACATGAATTTTCAGAACCGTGGGCTGTCAGAGGTGGGCCCCATCTCTACTTGGGGTCCCTGAGGACAGGCTCCCTTCTTCAGAGCATACAAAGCCTGCTGCTTTCCTCACACAGGCCAAGGAAACCCATAAGCTGCAGCAAGGAACACATAGCTATGGAACCACTTCCCAGGGAAATCAGTCAGGATACCACAGGATATATGACCAGACATGCTGCTCTAGGCGGCAGCCCAGAGCCTCTGGACAAACTATGCCTCTTAGTTGTCTCTGTGCTCCCTTGGACAACTACTGACAAAACCTAAAACCCTACTGACTTTATGCTTATTTCAATGAGGCATGGAGGTTGCTCATCTGGCCCACACTGCTTCAGTTCTATGAGGGCCTCAGGTCCCTCCCTTCAGGTTCATGGGCTTATTTCAGTGAACTGTCGTCCACAAAGGATACTGGAAGCTTCTAGAGTGGAGGCTGAGTGGAGCCTCACCTGTCAGAGCAGCCCTCCTGGACTCCAATGACATACAGGTCCTGAGTGTAGTCGGCCTCAGTGGGGAGCAGAAACTCATCTAGGCTTGCTGGGAGCTCCTGCAGTGAAGAGCCACAAAACAGTCAAGGCCTATGAGGCTCCCTCAGGCCTGGGGCAGAAGCTCAAGAGCAAGGCCCTGCAATCACCTGGAGTCTTTTCAAAGAGAAGTATGCACACAGCTGTATGTTTAGTCTCCCAGGAAACCTTGACCTGTCAGATACTTCAGTTTCCCTCAGCTTGGGGACCGTCCTGACTAGAGGACCTGGGTATTCTAGACTGTTGCCACCTGGGAGGTATGATCATCCTCCCAGGTGCATGCCCAACCCTGGTCCCTTACAAAGACTCATAGAGATAGAGTCTACTTGACTATCTTTATGTCCACTGTAATGAGTGGACTGTGCTGGGCCTCTTAGGGCAGGTCCCCAAGGATACAAAGCCCAGCTACCTCCACCTTAATTCTCTATGACCCCTCTCACCTTCTGGCCCTGCATGTTCCAGGTAGCCACGAAGAGAGCCATGTTCCGGTCTGGGAAGTACCTGCACAGCTCATCTGCTCCTAGCAGGGCCCCACTGGCCAGAAGACTGCCTTCCAGATAGCTCCTGTAAAAAGAGGAGGCAAGTGAGCAGCCAGCTCTCGTGATACCAGAGCAACCCAGGAGCTCCTTCACTAGGACAGATACATCTGGGGCCACTCTCTCCAAAGGTACAAGTCTTAGAAGCCATAGGGCCTACAAGCTATGTGGGCCCTGAAGACACCATTGACCATATAAGGTATCAGTGTTGCCCCTGGAGATGGGATTTCTTCAACCAGAGTGCAATACCACCTTCGTGACAACCCAGAATGACACCCAACTTATCCTGATTTCAGTCCATCTCCAGACCTCAGTGGAATGAGGTCACATTTGTCAAGCTGAGATACAATGCTAACAGTATGATGACCAAGCTCATGTAGGACACGTGTGCTGCCCAACCATCCTGGACAGAAATACTGAACATATACAGCCCTGTGGGTGACTTGGTCTCAGCCCTATCACTCAACTCCATCACCATAGTACAGAAACATGAACTCCAGAGAAAAATGATGGGTGTGGTTGTGTGCCTGAAAAGCTGTGTTTAGAAAGGCAATGAAATCTGAATGTCAGGGTTGGAGAGATGGCTTAGCAGCTAAAAGCACAGCTCCAAGTGGTTCAATACCCTCATACAGACACACATGCAGGCAAAACACTAACATACATGAATTAAAAAAAAAATCTAAATCATGATTTTTCATGCACTGAGAAATATTAGATTTAAATATTAATATTTAAATATTAAATATTTGTTGCCATTATTCTCCAGACCTTTAAGAAATGGAAGTCCTGGGGCTGGAGAGATGGCCCAGTAGGTGAAATCAGCAGCTGCTCTTCCAGAGCCCAAGTTTGGTTGCCAGTGCCCACCTGGTGCCTCACAATAGTCCTAACTCCAGTTCCAGGAGATTATGTTGTATTTGTATGTTATGTATATGAGAATTTTGCTTGAATGTATGTATGAGCTCACATGTTTGTCTGTTGCCTGTTGAGTCCAGAAGAGGATGCTGGATCCCCTGGAACACGCACATCTGCATAAAATAACTCGAAAGAAAAAGAAATTAAAGTCCCTCTGAGCTTATTGCTTACACACACACAGGCCATCGCCCCACTGGCTTTCTCTAGATGCTATCTGTGCAGCCACTCTTCTAGATGCCATTTCAGTGAAAGGGACTCCAGCTTCCCCTTCTGGTCCCTGCCACTGTCCCCTCACAGGGCAGCTCTCTACTTGGCTCTCTGCCTTGTTCATTGATTGCTGTTGAAGCCTCATCTGTTTCATGGCCCTGCCTGCCCTGGCTCTGTACCCAGGGTTAAGGCAGCTGCAGCTGACGCAGGGGAATCCCAAGCTGTCCACCTAGTCACCCGCCCTCCTGCATTTCTACTTCTACAACAGCACAGCTTGCCCCTTCCCAAGCACACAGGCTGGATTCAGCAAGACATCCTTTTCATTCCCACCATTCCCATGGCTTTTATACCTGTAGTGGCCATGGGGTCACCTAGCTTCCAGAATCCCACACACACACTCCTGTTTCTTCCAAGGTCATTTCCCCCATCCTCGTGCCCCCTTCCCACTCCCGAGTTCTACCTGAAGTGAACATGCCACATTGCAAAGCAAGGACCAAAGACATACTGAAGCTGCTCTTTGGTGACAGGACAGCTGGGATGCCAGGACAATTCAGTCCAGGCACTCTCCTCTCTCCTGATGCCTTCACACTCCTGTCAGCCACTACCCAGCTGCCCCACCTCCAGAGCAAGCTCATGGTGCCTGCACTGTGGGTTCACTTTGCTTCCACTTCTACATTACAGCCATTTACTAGGGCTCAAGAAGGGACAGAGACACACGGCATCACTTCAACACCAGCCAAAAGGAGTCCTGTGTGCTTTTCAAGTCTCTGGCTTAAAAGAAAAAAAAAAAAAAAAAAAAAAAAAAGCGACTTGGTCTAGATAGCAAGTTCCAGGCCAGCCAAGGCTACAGTGAGACCTTGTAGCCTTGAGGGAGAAGTGGGGAAGTGGCAGGCTAGGCCGGTGAGATAACTTAGTGTATAAGGGTGCTTGCTAGTAGGAAAGAACTAAAGAACTAACTCCCACAAACTGTCCTGATTTATACATGTTCACTATTGCATGTCCATGCACATATGCATGCATGCATACATAAATATATGCATTTTTTTAATTAAGTAGTGGGTCACTGCAACTTGTAACCTGGTGGCCTCTGGAAACAAGAGGCCCAGGTAGGAAAGCCAGGGCCTCTTCTGAAACAGCAGCTGGCAGACTGACCTAAGCCTGATTCAACCACCAAGAGTAGTTTTCACAGGGTTGGAGAGATAATGGCTTAGTGGTTAAAAGCACTGGCTACTAGCTTCAATTCCCAGCACCCACACATGGCACTGTCTGTAACTACAGTTCCAGGGGAGCAAGCCGATGCCCTCACACAGACAGACCCGCATGCAGACAAAATGCCAATGCACATGAAATAAAGAAATAATAGTTTTTACATTTTTCAAATTGTTGAAAAAGAAAAAGAAAAAAAAAAACCATTATTTTATGACCCATAAAAATCTGTGTCCCAAAGTAAAGTGTTGTCAATACCACTTCTGTTCTTGCCACACTAGTACCAGACACTCTCCCAACTGAGTGGCTACAGGTCATTCATCATCTTGCCAACCACTGATCTAGAACAAGCTGGAGTTGTGAGGTGTGAGGCAGAACTGGATGAAGGCCCTCCTCCATCATTTCCCTGTGATTCAAAAGTGGCCCATGGATAGTGCTCAGACTTATTGTCACTTCCTATGGACTGCATGTAATAATGCTTTGAATGTGGCATAAACAGTACTCTTTCAAAAGACCCCCATGGGACTGGAGAAATGGCTGAGTGGTTACGAGTGCTTGCTGCAGGCAGTGACGGTGCACATCCTGTAGTCCCAACACTAGGGAGGCAAGGCAGGTGAATCTCTGAGCCTGGTCTACAGATCGGACTGGGCTACACAGAGAAACCTTGTCTTGAAAAACCAAAGGATCTGAGCTTGGTGTCCAGCACTATTAGGCAGCTCACAACTGCCTGTACTTTCAGCTCGAAGGAATCCAATACCTCTGATTTCTATAGGTACCTGGCACTCACATGCACACCCCCACACCCCTAATTAAAATATTAAAAAAATAATTATTTTAAATATTTAAAATAAAAAGGATTGCTGGCCTACTAGTGACTAGAGGTGCTAGAAGGGCACCAGAGCATGTTGCAGAGGAGACAGTCTTGGAGAAGAGGTGTGGCATAGAGGGACCTGCTTTCAGAACTGCTTACAGGTACAGGGAGTAAAGCCTACCTCCAGCAACTAAAGAGAACTGAATGGTGGCCCCAGTAAAGATATGTCCACTCAAGGCCCCTCAGAATGTGGCTTTCTTTGGAAATGGTCTGTGCAGATATAAGCACTGTAAAATCTCCAGAAGAGGCCCTTGTAGTTAGCAGGGCTGGAGTCACTGTCTGGGAAACTTAGAAATGACCAACTGGAGATACAGGCAGAAATTACACTGTAAGAGCCCACATCACTTTCAGAGGAAAGGAAGGTTCCTTTGACCTTCTAGATTAAGGCAGCCCTGATGTCACTCCACTCAAGATTTCTGCTTCTAGGTTTCCTGTACGAAACCTTCTTACCGTAACCTTCTAACCTATGCTGGAACCATCTCTAGATCCTTCCCACTCTCCCCTTCCCACTTGCCACATGTCCAGCAACATGGTTGTGGGATAGCTACAGGCAGAATGTACCTTACAGGCCAAGACCAAGACCCCAGAAAGGGGCCGGCCTGGGCAAGGAGGCTCCAGATTTGGATAGGCCATGCTCTGGTCCTGTGACCCCAGTGGTGAATATGGCCCCAGGAGAAGGGCACCAGCATGGGGAAAGGGCTCATCTTGGTATGGCACTCAAGCTCTTTTCAGTATAAGTTCATACAAGTTAATTACTGGAGTCAGAGAGGCCAAGCACAAAAACCAGAGGTCTTGTACATTCTCAGGATCTTGCATGGCCAGTGAGAGCTCTCAGTGGACACAGCAAGTCCTCATCACAGACACTGGGATCCTGTGGCTCTAGACAGTGTGGAAGCTCTCCCAAGGCATAGGGTAAACTAGTCAAATCTGTTCCTGGGCCCTGCAAGTGGCCCCTGGGGTGTCATGTGCTCCAGTGAGTTAACCAGTATCTACATGTCCTGGTAAAATGCTGGCCGATGGCCCAAAATGTGATGGGACAGCACTCAGCCCTTCTTCAAGCATCACTAGAAGACTCCTGAGTGCTCCTCATGGGCAGTAGTTAGACAATAGTACAGCTAAAGAAACTTGTGACCTCAGGCAGGCATGGTGGTGACACAGGCCTTTAGTCCAGCGGTTGGGGAGGCAGAGGCAGGTGGATCTCTCTGAGTATGAGGCCAGCCTGGTCTACAAAGTGAGTCCAGGATGGCTAAGGCTACACAGAGAAACCCAAACTTCAAAACAAAACAAAATAAAAACCGGTGACCCTCCACATAGGAAAAACAAAGGGGCCAGTTCAGACACAGAGAAAGCTGCCCAACAAGATGCAGAGAAATATAAGCTACAGGTGCAACGATAGCACGATGGGTGTGCTCTCATCTGGAAGGGCCGAGGCAGAATGATCTGCTTTTATAGGTTCACGGTGTCTGTGGATGACACTGAGCCACAAAGGAAAGGGTCTGGAAGGATACAAACAGAAGGAGAAAGGCATGATGTTTGACACAGAATGGGAGAGCTACTTTATTTTCCAGTTCCAAGTCTTAGGCATTCTCTATGGGAATCATTCACATGGCCTCTGTGCAATCTGTCTTTATTCTACCTCAACCTTTTAAACACTAGGATTACAAGCATGAGCCACCATGCCTGGCTCAGTTTGCTCTTGGCTGATTAGACAGAGGCCTCTTGATGACAGGCCCAGAGCTCCCTGCCCCTCCCTCCAGGAAGCCCTACCTGCTTCTGATGTCCTTGGCGCGGATGGGGGCCAGAAGGCTGAAGGAAGATCTGGCTGATTGAATGGAGTGATTGTCACTAGCCAGGGGGCTCCGTGGCCTGCTAGGGCCCAGGCTGCTGTGGGCTCTGACCAGTGTGTTCTGCATGCGGAGCTTGAAGTCCATGTGCTCAGGGTCAACCTTGTTTGCTGTTCTCAGGGAGCTGGAGGCTATGTTGAGGTCCATAGCTGGTGGTGTGTGTGAGGCATGCAAACTTGCCAACTTGGGGGAGCCTCCACCTGGGGTGGCCTCTCTCTGCAGGAGGTCCAAGGAGGTGCTGATCATTCCAGAAAGACAGTCACTCCACAAGGATGGGCTCTCTCCCTCACTGCCTGTGGTCCTTCTGGGCTTAGGGATCTCCTGCAAGGATGTACTGAGACAGGGCAGGGGCCGACTGTAGGCAGGGGACTGGGCGACAGAACCCTTGCAGGAACTAGCCCCATTCTGGACAGTCAGATCCTCCTGACTACCTCTGAAACGCCTCCTTCTCAAGCTCTTGTCATCGAGGGACAGGGTTCGCTCCAACCTGGGTCTCATGGGTGGCTGTGGGTTGATCAAGTTTGCCTTAGCTTTTGGGTTCTGGTTGCTTGGTTTTGCTGGGATGCTGACAGGAGGCATGGGGTTTGTCTCTGAACTTTGAGAGTCTATGGCTGGTAGGGAGCCTGGTGTTGGGGTGAGCTTCTTTTCAGTGTTTGGAAGCTGTCCCTGGAGCATTCTGCCCTCCAGCTGCCCAGGTACCTCCGTGTGACGCAGGCAAGCTGACTTAGACGGCATAGTCCAGACCTGGCCAGCTCTCTCTCACCCAGCAGGGCACTCCTGAGAAAAGGGATCCTCCCCGGGAAGCTAGCAAGCTACTCGTGTTGTCAAGGATGCACGTCAGAGGTCACCAGCTGGATACCAAGAAAACTCGGGTGGCTCCCTTTGTGGCATGTGGTGGTCCTTTTTGAGCAGGGCCTGTAGCTGCATGGCTGGAGTCCTGACTTCTCACAGATGCCTGAGGAAATCCGGAAAAATCTCTCCTACCCTCTCTCAGCTCCTTGAAGGCAGCTTGCAGGTCTTAAAGCGACCTCGTGAGAACAGGCACCACGGGGTCGGGGCTGCACTTTCTTCTTGGAGCTGCAGAAGCCTGTTCCAGTACCCCGGGCTCAGACCTCCAACCCACCGTTAGAGTAGGGCAGCGTGCTCGGCGTCCTAGGCTCACCTGTGCCCTCCGTTCGGCCGCAGACCCGCCGCCGGGCGCCCAAGGTCTGATCCGGCTGGGCCCAGCACTGAGGTTGGCGGGCCTAGCCCAGTCACGGCGGCGGCTGGAACAACGACTGCTGCCCCGTGCCCCGACACAGGGTTCGCCCCAGCTCAGTCTAGTGGTCACCCTGGTCCAGGCCCCGCTCTGTGGTTGCCCTGAGAACCGCCCGGCCCAAGCTCACACTGACGCCACAGCGTCCCCTGGCGGCTGGAGGACCCTCCCCCACCCTGAAAGCCACGCCCCTCACGAGGGCACGCCCTATCGCGCAGAGGCCGCACTTGCTTCAGACCGGCCACGCAAAACACGCCGCCAAGGCTCTAGCCACAGTTACCTTCTCACTGGCCTGCCCCTCAAAACACAAAGGAAGCCATAAATGAAGTTACTTGAGAGCCCAAAATATTTTATTTAACAATTTGAATTTAGGAAAAATAGCAGCTCCCAGGGAAGAAGCTTCTTGAATCAAAAGTGGTTGGCAGTCAACACAGAGCCTGGGCAGGGTTGCACCACAGGCAAGGGTCCTGCCTGGTCCCAGCAAGAACACAAACCGCTACTGACCCACAGGGACGGGCCTTTCTTAGTGATAGGAGCAAGAGGGTCGAAGCATAATCATCTATGGAACATTCTGAAAACCATCTGCGAGTCTTTCCTATACGCTGCAGAGAACCAGAAAACCAGGAAAGGCTGTGCTAATTCGACGTTCGTTCTACAATTTCTAAATTTGATACCAAACAAACCATTTGTTTTCTACCCAAATTACCTGCTGATTTTATAAATATTTAAAATCTCTTTTCCCCTCCTCTTTAAAGGATAATTTAGCAACAGTCAGTGATGCCTTAAAGCTCTGAGTTTGAGGGTGCCCGTGTCAGCTCCTTCAAGAGTGAAGTGGTTGAGTCACTGAGTAGTTGCTGAAGGTCCCTGGTGGGCTTTGGGGTAGAGATGCAAGGTTCCAGAGTGTCTGCTAGGATACTGTAAGACACTCCAAGATATCACCAAGTCTCTAAATGATGTCTGTAGGTGACAGTGAGTCAGCTGGAGGGCCCCATATACACCCTTCCCTAGGAGGGCAGTACTTTGCAGCATGCAGCCATTTTTTTTGGCCTAGTTGGTTAATCAGATCAGCAGCTTCAGAACATCAGCTCCCTGGGGTTCTCCCCAGGGACTGGAACATGATGGGAATCTCTGAGAAATAAAATCCACCCAGCCCTAATCAGGCCACAGAAAATGTAGTGAGGCTGGGAATTCTTGGAGAGATATGCCCTGGCAACCACCTTCCTTCCAGCCTGTGAGAGACTGGTGTGGACTCCCTGGTTCACAGGACAGGGCATAGCTGCTCAGTATAGCTTGGGGCTCCTCCTAGGCCAGGCAGCACAACAGAGTCAGGGCTCCTCTCCAGTCAAGCATCCAGTCTTAGCATCCTAAGGAACCGTGGTTGGTTTGCACTATTTTTCAGGTGAGCAAGGGCCTGGTTTCCAAGGAACTGAGCTCTTGTGGTGAAGCCCTGTCTAGCCTCTCTTCAGGGGTATTCTCACGTGACTCAAACTATTATGTCCTTAATTTGTCTAAAGTGACTAAGAAAGAAACATTGTTTGAAAAGACTTCGAATTAGATTCATTCTATCCAGCATCTGAAAGGAATCAATTTTTCAATAATTCATATACATGGGCTTCAAGGAAGGAAACACACAGTATGACCGGCTCTGAGTTACTGCCATGTCCATCTGGGATCCATGAGACCTCAGGCAGCTAGTTTGGTTCTTGGTGGAGAACAGTTATCTAGTCATCTCAGAGTTCCAAGTATGAATCCAGCATCCTAGTTCAAAGGTGCATATTTTCTTTGGCCAATCTTTCCTGGCCTTGAATTCCCCGAGGTGACAGAAGCCTGGAACAAAAAGAACAGCAATGACCTATGTGTGTCCATGCCCAAAGGTTGTGTAGCAGGATGGGTCTACAGGGTAAGGCCACAGATCACTGACAAATGGGCAAACTCTGTGTTGGCTTCAAGCGTGAGACCTTCTGTAGGTGCCAAGTTTCTGCTGCTCAGCATTTTCTAGCCCACAGCACTGAAGACATGATTTGTTTTTGTTCAGCCACAGTTCTATCAAGGCCACAAGAAATGAAGCTAGCACTACAGAGCTTGGCCAGCCAAGGGTTCAGTGAGCCCAAGGGTGGCCAGTAGCCTATGGTCTTTGTTGCTGCAAAGCACAGGGATGCTGTGTGCCACTAGAGAACACTGGCATATATTTTTCCTCCCTCACTAGACCTTACTGGGATCAAATCCAATCTGTCAGCTATTCAACTACAAGGTCAAAAGAAAAATGACATCTTGTGGTTGAAAATATGGACAAAGATGGTGACAGCAGCAACCTCATTTGCACAGGACCCAGCACTCTCTATACAGAGAGTGACCATGGTTGGGTTTAAGACGGACAGCTGAGGGCAGAAACCCCGGAAGAGTGGGTTGAGAACAACACATTCAGAAGGTCAGAAAACTTGCCCAAGCAACTCATTTTTTGAGCCCTTCCTGGCAACAAAGAATTACTTAATTACTTCTCAATAGGCTTTGCATGGCATACATGAAAACAAACAAACAAACAAACAAACAAACAAACTAATGCCTGTTCAGATTGTTCAGTGGTTAAGAGTACTGGTTATTTTTTCAGAGACCCTGGGTTCAATTCCCAGCACCCACATGATGACTTGCAACCATATGTAACTCCAGTCCTAGGAGAGCTGGTCTCTGTAGGCACCATGCATGCAAATGGCAGACAGACATACATGTAGCAAAATACTCATACACATAAAATAAAATTTTAAATAAATAATAAACTTTGCTTGCTTGACCTTCTATTAAAACAAAACAGAACAACAACAACAACAACAAAAACAATTAAAAACTCACACAAGATGTTTGCCCCTGGCTAGGGATGTAACTTAGTTTGTAGAGTATTTGTCTAGCATGTATGAGTTCCTGGTTCAAGTTTCCTGTCCCCCAAAATAAAGTTGCTTGCCAAGAGATCTTTCCCTCCACAGCTCCCCAAACAGTAGCCAGACTCCATTTCCCTAAAAGATTAGTGTAGAAGGAGAGAAACCATACAGCCCATTCTAGATTCTCCTGGGCAAAAGTACACAAGGGTCATGACTAAGAAAAGGTGTATACAGACCCTTGAGAAAAGATGACCTTCCAAGGGCTGGAGAGACAGCTCAGTGGATAAAAGCACTGTCTACTCTTCCAGAGGTCCTGAGTTCAAGTCACTGAACTCACATCACTAAAATCTGATGCCCTCTTCTATATGTAGATAGAGCACTCATAAATAAAATCTTTAAAAACTTATCAGAAAGACACCATTCCAGTCTTCACAGACATAATGAGGACCTGGGATCTCACAGTAGGCACTAGAAAATGGCTCTATTACTTTTGATCTGAAGAAAATTCCCATCTGAACACTGCACCCAACAAACTCTCAACCCAACAAACTCTCAGCACCTAGGGTAGACCTGAAAGTTCTTCAAGAGTGAGTTGCTGAAGACCAAAGCTCATGGAAAGTGAGTCATCAGACAGAGGAATTAATCAGGATTGAAACCAGGTCTCTTTGGCAAAGCTGCTCTCAAGGAGAAGAGAGGAGGCAGGAGGAGAGGAAAGGACTGGGCCAGAAGCCTGTGGCTGACCTGGGAAAGCCACACATCCTGTGCAGGAAGGGGAAGTTGATGATAGTGGGAGCCAACCCTCAGCCCATGGCAAAAAGCAGAAAGGAAGGCCCATAACCTAAAGAGCACAAAGCAGTGAGAGGAACATGAGGCAAGCAAAGAAGGTGGATTAAGTCAAGTGAGACAAATCTATAAGAAGGGGAAGCATAGGACTTCCTATGCTTCCTAAAGGCCACTTCTCTGCCCTGTGGCTGTGTAACTCCGCAATAAAGAATAGCCAGAGAACTACAAAGTGAGTTCTAGGATGGCCAAAGCCACACAGAGAAACCTGTCTCAAAACAAAACAAAACAATGCTCCCTCCAAAACCAAACCAAACCAAACCAAACCAACAACAACAATAAAAATAAAAAGAACAGCCAGGGAACAAAAGACTCACAGAGCAGGCAAGCTGAGGTTGTAAGGAACAAAGGCAAGGGTCACTCACCTTCGCCAACTGAGCAGGGTTGTAAAAGGGCACAGACACACCAGGAGTGGCCCCTGCAGGACAATGGTCTCCAGGAGCCTGTGAAGCACAGAGAAGGACCTCAGCAAGCCAGTGTTACACAGCAGTTACTATCCCAGCAGCAGACACAAGCTACACCTCAGAAGGACCACTAATGCTCCAAATAAGCCCCCAAGACAGACAGCTGTGGCAACACTTGTTTTCCATACTGGCTGGTTCACAGAACAGCCAAAATCAAGCACCATGCAGACAATAACATGCAGACAGTAAGTGCAAGACACTGAGATTTCATTAGTGCTGGTCAAGCAGTTTAGAGACCTGGACACTGTGCTTGCTCTAGAGCCATAGGCAGCTGGAAATGTCCCCCCAAGACTTTCTGTTAAAACCTACTGATACAACCTGGCTCCAAAACAAAAGGTGAAAAGCATTCCTTGTTTCTTCTAGTCTGGCCACATGATGGCCACACTCCCAGTGGCTACAAACAGACTTCCTCAAGCCCCATCAGCAAGAAGAGATCTTTCTTCCCAAGTGGTGTCCTAACCTAGGAGATGCTGACGGCATGGCTGGGGTCAGGCCACTTCACAAGGAGCATTTAGGATGTTCATCTGAGCACTCTGAACCCTGTAAGGTGAGTCCACCACCAGCGTATCTAGACAGTATAATAAGCCCAGGTCCTTTAATAAAGGAAAACTGCATCTTTTCCCACATGATACTTGGAGAAGACAAGGAGTTAGTGACAAAGTGAAGAGGACGACAGACTCTCTAAGGGACATAGGGGCTATACAGCCAGCTCCATGGAAGAAGGGAACCACCAGCCACAGGTACCTGATGGAAATGCCGGCTCACTTCCTGTGAGAGCGAGCTCAGAGAGCTACAGCGCGAGAGCTATGGAACAGCAAGAACATACACAGATACAGACATGAAGATCAGCATGCCCCCTGCTCCAAGCTGGAGCTGGGTTCAAAAGCATTATGATGCCATTAGAATCAATGTCACTCACATGAAGACAGCCAG